TCTTTCTTGGTCCAAACATGTTGAAAACATTTGTATTCGGGTTCGTAAGCTATCACTCTACGCCTTTAGGCTTAAAAAGCTCGGCGTTCCCTCAAATGTCATTCTTAAATTTGCGACTGCTTGCATTCTTCCACACTGATTGTACTGTTTCCCCGTATATTTTCCTGGTCTAAAGGAGAACGACTTTATTCTCTTTTCCATATCTCTTAAACTTCTTTCTCGTTGCAGCGGCATTTCAAAGACCGTTTTGGTTGACTTTATTGTGAGCAAGCATTTTGACTCATGCGATCGATTTATCAGCCATATCCTTTCCAACGAAGAACACTGCCTGCACTCCCATGTCAATAAATCGCTCTCTCATCCGAGTACCCGTTCCCAGTTTCGGATTCTTTATGCACGCATAACCACACATAAAAACAGCGTGATTCCTAATTTTGCTCGCATCCTGATCAACCGAGTAAATATTATTGCTGACTTGAACACTCATCTCTCACATTAGGATTTTACGTAAACCCGTCTGTTTGTCACTTAGTAAATGTATATTTCTTATTTTTCCAATATTTAACGTTTTTCCTACTGTAACATGTCGAAAATGCTGAAAATTCATCCTATTGGGTACATAAAGCTTTACTTGACTTTACTTGAGAAATTCCTGGGGACATATCTGGTTACATAGAGTGAATCGTTTAAACAGAACTTTTATCTAATATTCAGTATCGATGGTCGAACAGGCCAACAACTTGTTCACGGCCTTTCTGGTTTCAGTAATGAGGAAGTGAATTCACTTTAGAAAGTCTTGTTCATTTTTAAATACTATGAAAATTCAGCGACGACTCCCTCCAGCGCACACTAAATACGTCACTTACCATGCTGAGTAGTACCTCACTGAGAAGGTACCCCATAAGCAAATGTTTTCAACCCATCTATACTCATAGGGAAGCTGTGATAAGTACAACAGGTTGCTCCTTTTGCTCCTGGTTCTTATCAACATTGAAACTCACTTGTCCCTTGGATCTGACAGTGATCTAAGATTTTCACTGTTGTGTGTAATCGACTTGACACATGGGAAACCACTCCCGATTCATCTCACCAGCTCAAGCCCTCGGAACAAGACTGAAACGACACAAAGTAAAGGTGATCACCTTCAAACTGATTTGCGTCACTGGGACCCTCGCTTGTTTTTTTCCAATCCACGATTCAGGTGGTACTGTAATCTGATCGTCAACAGAAGCTCGGGTTTTGCGTAAGCAAAAGACGATTAGGCTTACGCAATCGTGATGGCAACAAGCAAGATTACATAAACCATATATGCCAATTGTCATCTTAGATTAAGAACTGATTCCCGGATGACCCGGGTTTCAATTTTCAACCATGTGACTATCCTCTTCCGCCATCTCCCGAACAAGTTAAACACGATAAACGGCACGCAGTATCGATAGTTCGTTCGGTAAATTCCAGTGGATTCCAGGGCAGTCTCCACGGCAGATAGATTACATACTCATTGGTGGATTCTGTATAGCTCTACACATGAATTGATCCAAATAAGGAGAAATCAGTGCTTCGGTATGTCCCTTTAGCTCAGATGGTAGAGCTTAGCTGTACAAAAGCATAGGTATCGTTCGTTTATTGGTTATTCGTCGACCTTTTGCACATTTCAAAACAGACGCATTACACCAAAGTGAGTATTTCAAATTTCTTTTTGCTAACTTGTTCGGTCCGTAGATAGCGAAACCTTGGTCTGTGCACTCGAGAACATCCAGGTTTTCGAGGAAGTTAATTCAAAAACTCCCATGAATTGAATAGTGTAATCTCCGAATGAATAAATACAATGGAGCTCATCCTTACGGATAAACAGAAACTACTATGATACCCACCCACATGAAACTTGACCAAAATAACCATTTTCATGTTGTGATGCTGCGTTGCAGCAATTGGTTTCTCATCATCGTTTTCTGCCAAACTGACCACCAAAATGAATAGGGATTAGAAAACTGAAAACAACAGACCCGTATTAACAAGTAGAGCCCAAAGATGTGGGAATTTTTATTCACTCTTGTCAAGCACACACACACAAACACTGTTGTTTGAGTGTGAACGAACGGTATACAGTTTGTCTGTTTGTTTCTTTTTTCCAAGCGTCCGACGTGTTTATTGTTCAAGTTCATGCTTGAATGTACTTGTGGGCACTAGACCGATTGGGAAATCTGTTAAAAAAATTCTCGTTTAACAATGTTTATTCATTTCTGTCTACTGCAAAACACAGAGAACGAGAGAGCCTTTCCAGTGTTGGCGCTGAGCGCGCAGAAAGGTTGAGCTTTGGGGACAGTTTGCTCAACAGGATTGAAATAATGATACCGTCATTATCGGGAATGTACCTGCAACAGGTCAAACCCGGACACATCACACATTCACACAGTCTGGTTTGAGGATACACAGATGGGTCTAAATGTCACTCCGTATCACAGTGCTTGTGACTAGTTGTTGCCGTTACGTGGAAATGTTTTGTGGCTGATGTTGCTATATGCTTTTTTTCCAATAATTGTGCTTGAGAGTTCTGATGAATAGAAAATAGTCTTTGCATCTTTATTCTCACTATCGATTTGCGCTACTTAATTAAGTCATTTTAGGGAAAACTGGATGAATTCAGTCTAGTTCTTTGTCATCCACTTGTACTGTTTCAGCGCCCACCTCTTCGTAGTCTTTTTCCAATCCGGCCAAATCTTCACGTGCCTCACTGAATTCGCCCTCTTCCATGCCTTCGCCTACATACCAATGCACAAACGCGTGTTTCGAATACATCATGTCGAATTTGTGCGTCAGTCGAGCCCAAGCCTCGGAAACTGCAGTCGTATTGCTCAGCATACATGCAGCACGATTCACCTGTGCCAGATCTCCTCCAGGTACTACAGTAGGTGGTTGATAATTGATGCCTACTTTGAATCCCGTCGGACACCAGTCAACAAATTGAATGGTACGTTTGTTTTTGATGGAAACAATTGCATCGTTTACATCTTTCGGGACCACATCACCACGATACAGTAAGCAGCATGCCATATATTTTCCGTGACGTGGATCGCATTTCACCAGCTGATTTGCCGGCTCGAAACAAGCATTGGTTAGTTCCGCCACACTCATTTGTTCGTGGTAGGCTTTCTCCGCTGAAATTGTTGGTGCGTAGGTGACGAGCGGGAAGTGAATACGTGGATAAGGGACAAGATTAGTCTGGAATTCGATAAGATCCACATTTAGGACTCCTTCGAAACGGAGTGAGGCGGTGAAGGAGCTGACTATTTGTCCAACGAGTCGATTCAAATTGGTGTAAGTTGGTCTTTCGATTCCCAGGTTACGGCTGTCAAGCGGGTACACGACAATGGAAAGTGAAAGAGGAGTAATAAAGTAACGCTTGAAAGAATTTCATTCAGAAAACTAAAATGAGTAGATAAAAATCAAAGCGATACCCCATACACGTTCGTTAATAGTAATTGACACAACTGAGAAGTTGTCTACATGCCACTTTGTTTATTGTTTATAAAAAACGTGATATTGCCCCAGATAATAATTGGGGACTGTTTGAGGAAGCAGTAAATAAACGGAATCAAACTAGCAAATTCATGAGTATATGTTCACAAAAGAAACACTCCGTGTCTATAAGAGGGAGTGGGGTACCACAATTCGAATCATTCTAATGTTTAGCTCTTCGACTTATCCACACGGTTTAACTGCTGTGTTTTAACAATCCCATTGAATAAATCCCCAATCAACGGTTGACAAAAAGTTTTCAAAAGGCATGCGCGCTTTGTGGATGAGATGAGTAAGTATAATAATGATCCACGGTATTGTAACACATTTTATCTGATAAAAATGATGATGAAATCAGTACTGGACACATCGGTCTAAGTTCTAATAACCTCAGCATTTACTAACAATCAGGCCTAGTTCTTTTTTACAATTAGAGAACAAGATGGAATAATAATATTTGTTCTCCATATGACTTTTGCATCACATCCTTTGAATATTCAACGTTTTGGTTAAACTGGAAGACAATGATCACAAATCCGGAAGGGACCGGGGCGTCAATAATATGTCCTGCAGCGCTCGTTAGTCCTGAGAGATCTGTGAAGGGTTATGTTTATTCTGCCACAGTTCAACCAGTGCTGCGTAATGACATACACATTTGGTCATTATGGGAACGGGATCAGGGCAGACTGTCGGTGTTCAAACAGCGCTATCTACACCGCAGTGCACGAGACTGGTGAGGATACCGGACGAGCAGTGTTGTTCCAGATGATCACGATCGACAATTGGGGCAAGTGGTCGACGTCTTTAGATTCAACTTGTGTCACCAAATAGATTGTCACGGAGCCTAATGTTTGCTGAGGCTGTTCGGTTCAGTTCAATTCTTACAATAATTGACTATGCACTTTCGTGAGGCGGTTTTGGTTTCTGTCTTTTGGTTGCCTATTTAGATAAAACAGCAGAATGAAGATTAGAATACGTTAACAGTGAATTCCAGGGGAAGCTAATGAATCTATAGAAACTGATGTGCAAGAATAGTGAGTAGATACACGAGCGTCATTGCTTGCGACGTACAGCCATCTCACTCATTGTTTCTATCCAACGGGTGAAAACAAGTAGAGGGTGATTAAACATAGATCTGGTTTCAGTGGATGAAACCACTAAATCCCTCGAATTCCCTTAATCTCTATTCAACTTTAGTCTACCAAAACTCATTGGCTTTTCTTTGACCCTGCTCCTGAAATTCCCATCTTTTATCTACTTCTGTATCCAAATTAGCACTTGAAAGACAGCAATCAAAACGACCGAATTTTTAACAGTTGTAAAATATGAACTGAACTATGGTTAGTTAGCATATTTTCGCTACTTTTTTAAACCATCTACCAAACATTGCGGTATCTCAAGCATGCCTCAATCTGGAAAAGTATGCTAACAACTTCTGGTTTGTTGTCATTACGGGGAAAATGTACCGTAATTCAATAGTTTTCCCTTGAGTAGGACAGTGAATTCAATGTGTCAAAAGTAACTCTCCTTTCACTATACCACATGAGTTAGTTTCCCGTATTTCTTCTGAAAATATCAACTTCCAAAATACGAAACATGAAAAATACATAGGCACCCAATACTGTGGAAAATTAAGTCCATTCCATAAACCCTGGCAATGCCTTGTTGGCAGCTCTGAAGCGTGTACGTTTACGTGTGGCTACAATGTGATCTTAGCATCAAGCATGGTCCAAGGACCGCATTCCAATTCATATATGAAAGATTGGTAAATTGTATTTCACTCTGTATCACCGCATTCAATGAAAGTTGTCGTCGCATAGTCTCAACAAGTGCCGCACCAGGTGTTTCGACGACATCGGAAGTATGCGGCCTACGGAGTTG